AGTTAGAAACAATCCCCCCCCCCCCCACTTTCCTATTTGGTCACATTTAGTGAGCATCAGCTGTTTCAAACAAAAATAGAGTCAATATACCATTTCTCAGGAGTAAAGTAGTTACTGGTTATCACCCAACAGGCAGTAATTTCAGTTCACATAAACCCTCTATTTCTACATTGATCTGCCCTCAAGCACCATGAAGCATCTAAATTGACCTGACCCTAACTTATCCAAAGATCGTTTTCTTTCAGATAAAATTAAAGTTCTTATTCAAGAGACTCCAGAACTTACATGTGTGAACCAGAAGAGTGCACTGCTGGCTCAGGCAAAACATAAATTGAACCCAAAATTTTAATTTTTCATTAAAAATTGGAATGCAACATCTATATTTAAACAACTTTATTAACATAGTCAAGCAGTGATTAACATTCACATCTATTATGTCACATCATACAAATGTAAATACAAAATTACTACAGTACAATATATATTCTCTGCATGATCCAAAATATTTGGTGGCCCCAAAAACTCTTTAAAATTCAGCAGCTTATCAAAAATTAAAACCATATTCTATTTAAAATGAAGTTCTGTTAGCACATAGGCAGACTTCAAGAAGTATCACTCAATTTAGTACAGTTTGAGAGGTTGCAGGAGGATATGTTTGAAGGAAACATTCCAACATTGTGGCAGATACGGAAACATCAGATTTAAAGCTTTCAAGCAAAACTCATACAACCTAAGTTGTCAGCAGAAAGATCCAGTCATCTTTCATTTTAAACTATTTTGTCTACTGCATCCAATTTAAAATTTTAAAGTGTCTAGTATTAGTAAGTCAAACAATATACAACATAACTACCTATCTCTTCCCATGAAAAAAGATAATATTACACTGGAGATTTCAACAGCCAAATGAACCTGCTTATACCAATAGTTGTTTTTTTTTTCTAATCGCTGTCCTCACAAAAGACACCCAGGCCTTCTCAATTTTGTTGCTCACCCAAAGTAAGGAAATAGATACCTAAGGCGAAAGTAACACAACAGAACCAGCTTATAGAAAAAATGATACTATACTGTAAGTGCTGAATTCTTCGATGTGGATTTGGCTTAAAGTATACCGTAACACCATACAGGGATTCACCTTACAGAGCCATTTTAAACTTCCCTCATATAAGTACATTCAAGTGAGAAAGTATCATTATTTTAGCAGAATATACTCTTACAAGGCAAGCAACAAGAGTACTCGCCTCAGTTCCCCATTTAAAATAGTAATCTAAAAACTGGCTTGCTCCAACCATTAAGTGCAAAGAGCAAGCATCAGTGGCAAACAAAACACAGTTTCTATTGAAGAAGAATACTTAGAAGACTAATGGATGCAAGTCATTCTGGAGAATGCATAGGTGAGTGAAATACACAGCTACTGATCAAGCATTATTTATGCAAAATGAGGTTACTGGAAATACTTATGTAATATATAACAAATACGTATGCAAACTACATCAGCGTCTATCTGAGATAACTGCAGGATGTTCTGCCATTTCACTGTGAGCTTAACCTTTATCTAAGATAAAAAGTTACTCTTTAGACCCTATATAGAAGCTTTATGCATCTATCATCCCCATGAAAAAGTTAGTATTGAAGCGATTAGTGTTAAGTTGCAACTTCTTTCCTTGACAAAATAAGAAACAAACGATTTCCAATATAATGTTGCATTTAAAGCATTTTTCAAGAAATATTTCAGTTGTTTGAACATGGATGCATTCTCCTCAAGGGAAGAATGGTTTTGCACCTTATCTGTTAATACATTCAATATGAATAAAATAGGTGAAGCAAAAGTCATTATTGTCCCACAGTAAAAGGTTAATTTAGAGTAAGTTTAAGACAGAGGAGCTGCCTAAATAAAATACATGAACTGATATAATTAAGACACATTTTTATTAGCATGTGTTCTGAACAAAAAGGGTACAAGAGTATTCACCTGAGATAAAGCTAGAATTTGACTATTTCTAAGTAGCAATGAGTTTCGCTTGAGGAAAGCCACTTGAAGTTTTAAAATATACATTTTACTATTATACAATATATGCAGTTTAAGTAATTAAGATTGATGCTAACATGAAAGTCCTAACAAAAAAATAAATCACAGTGTGTATCAATATTGTTAGTTACAAAATTTATGCTACTTCATAATTTTTAAAAATTATAATGATTATAAATTTTAAACCCATTCTTCTAAAAGTGATCTTTTGAGTACAAGCTTTAAGGAGCAATAAACTGAAGCATAAGAATTAGCTTATTACAATTTAAATATATACATATTCACTGATTTAGAAAATAATCAAGCTTTGGAAAAAATTTACAAAATTGATTATTTTTGCTTGCACTGCTTAAAATAAATGAACTATATTCTGATCTTTTTCCCTAAATGAAAGGAGCTGTTTCCTGAATGCGTAATGAAAAAAAATTAGTATTGAACTTCATTTAAGACTAATTTAACAGCAATTTAGAACTGCCAAAAAGATGCATTTATAAGGATTTTAAATACACTTTCTGTTACCAACTTAGGTTGATCAGCAGCTTTTGTTCACTCTCAGAATCCTTCAAAAAGGGAAACTCAAAACAGGAAAAAGGCATATATAAAAACAGTAAACACTGACCTCCTGAGGTTTCTACAACAAAAATATTCAAGTAGAAAATCTACACCATTACTTAGCAGCGGCTATTTCTGTAGTTTAGCACACTAACAGCACTTTATTCAGTGTGTAAGGAGCAAATGAAGTAAGCCGTGCCTTTAGCATGCCAAGAGGCAGAAACACTGGAATGTAACAAAGACAAACTCACAATTCTACCAGTAAAAACATTCAGTCAACATTCAAGAACTGTCAAGACTACACCACAAGAATTAAGATGCTTTTTATATATCCCATGATGCAATAGTTCAATTATAAATGTTAATGCTGATTCAGAACTTTTCTTACCTCACAGTATACCCTAAATAGCTTCTGCAAATCTCTGCGGTATATCATGTATGAAGAATATGGTTTATTTGCTTTAAAATATACCATGAGAGAACTTACTGATACAAAAGACTATTTTGTCAGTACTGTTTATTTCTGCCTTATTTTAATTCTTTTCCTTGCTGTTATACCAGATCAGTTCACATCTGTACAAATACCTATTAAAATACGCATGTACAAAAGTGGCATCCTAAGCTAATCTGAGGTGAGGTGGAGTGGTTTTATTTGGTTAAAGGGGCTTCCTGGAATTTAAGCAGATAATTAAACTCAGATTCTAGCTGTTATGCTACAGTATTATTTGGGTAAGTTTTCCATTCTACAATTTTTTAAATGTAATTTCTCTGAAACTCTTCCCTAATGTTCATACAAACACAGTCAAAATTGGAGCAAGTTTGGGTATGAAATAATATCCCACCTTGCTATATTTTAAAGGTTTGGGATTTTTTTTCCTTTCAGAATTTGGTTTTCAAGTGTTTTTAGTGACTATTGCTAATTTAGTTCAGAGTTCTTAGTTAAGAAGGAATTTTGTATTTGCTACCAAAGCAATGTAATTTGAAAGCAAGTTATTACATGCAATTTTGACCAAATTGAATAAATACTATGTACTAGCATTACTGAATGTACTTCATACAGTACATGTCCAAACTATTCTTCAGTATAATTCATAAAAATTTGCAAAGCCAAACAAAAGAGGGTGGGGAGGGGGGGATGTAAAACATGCATGCTATCATGCATTAAAAAAAAAAAAAAATCAAAACTCTTTAACAGCATTTATAAGTTCGCACTCACACAGCTCAAACTTCAGTGCAATGGCTAAATCATTCAACAGTCAAAGAACAGAACCATGCAAAGAAGAGCAAGTTCTTAAAAAAAAAAATAAAAAATCAAACCAACAACCAACCAAAAAAAACCAAAAACCCACAACCAAAAACTGTTATCCAGTATCCATTCTGCAATGCAAAGGTGAGAAACTAAATCTACAAAAAGGCTGTTATGGCTTAATTTTGTTTTGCAGATTAATTATGCAGCACTTGAAAAATGGAAAGGTGTGGCTTCACCTCTGACCAGCAGAGTTAAAAATCTCTCCATTTTCCTTTATCATCATGGGATACTCTTTAGGCAATCTAAATTATTAAAGACTTGCCACTTTCAGATCAACACAAGATCAAGTGTACCAGTTAGGATTTCACATTCACAGTACATAAGAAAATACACATGAAAGGAAAAGTAAAGGGTTAACTTAACAAGGATTTATTCACAGGAATACATGTAAGTAGAGAAAAAAAACACAACAGAAAAGCTAAACAAATGAAATGAAGAGGATCCAAACCAACTTTCACTCTGTAGCTTTAAACTTGCACCCTTGTGCATTTAACTACATCACAAAGGGCCACCAACATGCGCCGAAACAGTGTAGATACCCTGCATTACATCCATTAACTTAAACATCTCTTTAAGATCATGCTTTGAACAAAAAGAAAGCGTAGAAGGTAATATGTTGAGTGGGAATAAACACAAATATAGCAATCATGTCATCAACTTCTACAATTGTCTTTACGTGCCAACTAACATTTATGCAGCCTTTAACGGGTCTTACCATGTAACTCATTTTTAGAGATTCTGATAAAATCACTAGTATATAACCATGCAGAAAGCACATCACACTGACAGCACAGAGGCAAATATTTTGCACAGCTATATCAGCTTTCCACATTGTGCAGGTTACACACAATACAATATCAATCCTATTCTTAAAGATCCTAAAAAGGTATTTCAAGGCCTAATTGTTAACTACAGTACTTTATATCTATATTCTTTTTTTAAAAAATCCACAGAATCTTAAAAAGGAATTTTAAATGCAGGGCTATATTGAATTGGTAAACTGCAACACAAAACTGGCGCAACATAGGTAAATGTATACCAATTTCACTCTATGTGATGCAAGCATGCTACTTTCCCACTAATTTAAATTACTTCTGATCACTATGAGCCAGAATGCATGCCTGAACCTTAAACTGCACGTTAAGAATAATGCCTTACTCTAGAAATTAAATCTAATGAAGTACAATAATCAAATCATATCCACTACTTTACTTCTTTTTTTAATGTAAAAATTAAGATGTTAATCTTTCCTTTAAAGTGTCCCTCCCCTTACCCCAAAAATGAAAGGAGTGACTCATTTGGCAGCTTGCAGGTTGCTTCACTTTGTCCAAGTTAACCTTTATTAATTTACGATGGGGTTTCTATATTGTACACTGCAAGCGCCTGCTCCTAATACAGACACAAGCTGCATTTTAACTGTACTAACTTCACTTGTGTAGTTCTTCATTAACATGCAAATACCTAGGAATCCCATCAAGCAGGATGAAATAATGTAGAAAACCCTTACTTAAAAAACATAAAAGAAAAAAGAAAGCCTTTTACTGTTTGTGACCCCCATTCTTAGGTTTCCTTTATTGTGCGCAAAATAGTTTTCCTCTTTACGTATCCCTATGGTTTAATTATATGGTTCTTATTTTGGTACAATTCCCCACAATATTCCAGAATGTGCTGTTTTGTGACTAGATTCTTTTTTTTTTTTCTTCTTCACATCCAGTGCAGAGTTGTAATAGGAGACAGATTTCCACCCACAAAGGCTCCAGATGTTAAAACATTTCCCAACATCGACTTAATACAGTGACGGCAACACCTCCCTCCCGCCCCTCCCAGTAGGGTTGGGATTGTACTGTATTCCCTACTGGTTTACCCTTCCCCCCAGTAAAGGGTAACATTTTCCCTGGGTGCAGAGGCTCCCTCATGGTCTCCCAGACTGAAGGACCTGTAAAAGAAAAAGACAAAGGTGTAAGTAAATCTTACCTTGAACCTTAACTGACAGATCTGTGCATAAACAAAGAGCTTTTTCACCTTTTTAAAGCCCTAGGTGACAACCTTAAAAACAAATTTATGCCTAGATTTACCCTTTTAAGTCTGTTAAGAAAAGAGCCCATTTGTGTCAGGTAAATTACTATTCATGAAACAACAATGTATGCTTTAAAGCTACATTGACAGATCCACTGTTGTGGCTAAACTGAGACAAAAGCAGTCACAGAATCATAGAATCAGTCTTACATACGCTGAACAAGCTTTTCCATTTTTAGCACAAAATTATGAGGTAGTTATGACATGGAGAAAGAATACTAAACATATCTGCTACTGATGTAACAACTTCATTTGAAGTGGATTAAACAAAATAACCATACTGTCTCCTTAGTTCAAACTGAGAATAATGGCAAGTTTTATCACTTTGGATTCCTCTTCATTAGGACAAGAAAACACCCTTATGTCAGAACTAAAATTCCTCCATTGATAAATATGTGTCTGAAATTGGTTTATTTTTAACCCACTGTTCACATCAAACATGTAATAATTCACACAGATTTTCTATGTCACTGACTTCGAATAAATCTTAGGCTGACTTTTAAATAGCTGTTCATTCAACAAAAATTATGAGTCACTCCCATAATTTCAATACAAAAACTCCACACCTAGTATCAAATTCATATAAAGACTGAATGTATAAACTTAATTCACTCTCTTTTCTGGGTGGTGAATTTGGGTGGTATAATCTCTTCACAGCATCACACTACTTTACACATGGGAAATTTGCTTTATACAGTGTGCACAGACAGCATACAAAGCAAGGTGGTATAATTAACTATTCCAGAATGCACTGTCACTGTTCTCGGTTGAAGTTGAATCATTCTCTGCAGATAACTGTAACAATTCTGAACTGCACAAAATGGAACACGGCAATAATAAACACATCAGCCTCCCCAAAACATCAAGCTCTACAGTTGCAGTAGAGGTACAGATTAGCATGACACCCTTTACTCAGTGCGCAGATCATCTGGTATGTGGTTAGGAGTATATTGGACTTATCATGGCTAAAGCGTGCTAACAAACTTGCTTTCCTATCCTAGAAGAAAATTTCAGCTTAGACCACATCTTCCATCTACTCATTCGTAAGAAATAAGGGAGCCTGTGTCTTTAGTGTGATGGCTTCAGTTTGCTTATTAAACTTGCACCAGCACGTTGTTATATCTACACTTCCAACCTTATCTTGATATACTACCATGTGTATCATACTCTTTCTTTCTCTCTCTCTCTCTGTAAAAATAAAATAGCAGTCAGACAACTGCTTTTGCTACAGCTACCTTTACTTAGGTACAGTATCACCTCTTTTTTTGTGTTTCCTTCTTATAGGAAGGAAAGATATCTCATCCAATATATCTGAAAAATTCTAGTCTGATGAATCAATTACATTTCATATAATGCAAACAGGGAGGAAGTCTGTTACACAGCTCTGTCTAGCAAGGAAGACTTGTGTGCTTACCTCTAATTATGGGACTGCAGCTACAGTGCATGAGGTTAAACTCCATAGTAAGCTGCAAGGCGCTCTTTTAAGGGAAGAGGAAACTGGTCAGAGAAACGCCTCCAATTCTCATCCCCAACTTGATTTTTAAATCCATGAAGAATCTACAAATGAGATGGGAGAAGCCAAGATAATCATTAAACGGAAGACACATTACTCACTAGCAACACAGGCAGTAAGTCACAAATCCAGCTGCTGGATTGGACATCTGTCCATTTGAATTCTCCAATTTAATACCGAAATGCTAACTTAAAAAACAAGCAAAGTCTACTATAATGTCTTTAACTGAAATGCTTTTTCTTTTAAACGTAACATATAGAATATAGCTACCCACACAAATTAGCATGTGTATATATATCTATATGTATTTTTAATGAGTAAGGTGACTTACAACTTAGAGTTAGGCCATTTCAGAATGCTAAACATTTTATCAATTGACACAGTTTATATATCTTAAGATTACTCTATTAACACTTCTTTTTTAAATGTGTAATGTGTTGTGGGAAGAAAGCTGAGCCAAAACTGCAGCCAGCATTTGACAGAATGAGTACCTGTCAATTTCTAGCACAAATACAAAAGAATCCTGTGAGAGCTCTTTTTTTTTTTTTTTTTTTTTTTTTTCTTGGAAACTGTAAGGCAATTGTCACTAAAAAGGAAGCTGCTAAAACTTTTCTGTGTTTTGAAAAAACAAGTATCCACAGTCAGTGGCAGTCAAAAGCCAGTAAGAGAGAAAAAAAAAAAAAAAAAAATCAACAAGTTTCAGTCTGTACCTTCCAAAGTAATAAAGTAACTAAACCCGATGAAAATTAAATGATGCTATCAAAAAGGTCGTAGTATGTTAGCTCTGAGAACAGCAGGCTAAAGGCAAACATTAGAAAGAAAAAAAGCAGATTAAATGGCTCCTCTCTGCAAAATTATGCCAAGAGAGTCTAGTTTTGTTTTTCTTTTTTAAATTCAATGATACTGAATTGTGGAACAGTGTGTGATGAATAGATCCTCGCATAAAAGGCAATGCCAAAGTTAAAGCTCGTGGTACTGAATTCACCATTCTCAGGCATAGTTGTTCTTAAGCAAGATGTAGCTATAATGACAATACAGAGCCACTAATTAATTTCCTGCTTTTCTCCCTGAAAGAGACCTTCCACAGGCAGGCTCTCAGAGAATCACAGACTCTTTCCTAACCCAAACAGTCAAATTAGCCAGCTGCCAAGAAAATACTGAAAATCTAAGGATGTTCAGGTATGACAAAAGGAACACTTTTTAAATCATCTTCCAGTAGATTTTTAGTAACAGAGCTTCTGCTACAAGGTATCTTCAGATACCTTGCTTTTTATAAAAAGTGATAAAATTCTTAGGGTATTAGATTAGATTTCAACACTGGCAGCTCATCTACCCATGCCCTCGGAAGCGATATTTTCTCTCTCAGCTCTAGTGCTAAAAACCAAATCAAAACAAAAAAGCAGCACTGGACAATCCATTTTTTCCCCATTGTTGTTGGAAAAATATCTAACTAGACCGTAGCGATCATGTATTCATGAGGAAGTGATCTAAAAACTGTGTATGCCATCACTTGAAGAAAGCTTTGTCTCCTTTCTTGCACGGCAAAAAGCACAAAAGAATACACTTTAAAAAGCAAGGATGTCCTTATGCCAAGGACCAAGAACCATTGTGTCTAGTTTGAATGCATTAGATCCCACACAGATAACTTGGAAAGAACCTGAAAAAGAGGAGCCTAACTTACTGAAGCAAGTATTCAGTGCTGAAGGACCACTGCAGAAATACACACTGAGACTGCTTTGGACAATCATTGCAGACAGCATCCTGAACTTTCTTTTAAGTTTCTTGTAAGTATTTGCAGTTCCCTTCTCCTGACGCTAGAATACTCACAGCTAGGCATTTCCCAGACCTGATGTTCCTTCAAAGGATACCAGTTATCTGAGAGGCTAACTAGGACAGTGAAATTTCTGTCTTTCCTCTTAAAGATGGGATACAAAAGTTCTACCTTCTGTTCCGATACTCACACAAGGCATTACTTCAACAAAAAGTGCCAATACTGACCCATGATTGTAGTAAGTACTTAAGAACATGCTCCATTTTTGCTTTAAGAGGAGTATCGTGAACTTTTGGCATACACCCTTCCTAAAACCAGAGAGTTTACTTTCCAACTGAGGAGGGGAGCCGTGCTGCTGAACAGTACCAGCATCTGTTCATGAAACTGAAATAATTCTTTTTTTTTTTTTTCATCCAAGACAGCACTGCCAAAACACAATAAACCACATTCTGGCTAGGGTTTTTTTTTGCTAATTTTACACAAGGCAAACAGTCCTTTCACGTACTTTCTACCAACACCGTGTCTATGGACATATTCTTGGGTATAACTGTATGTTAGTTCCTTGAAACTTGCTCATCCAAGAGGTGTTCTGAGGACCACCGAGCAATCCTGAAACTTATTTTCAGGGAGAGTAAGTGAAACAGATCAGGATACCAGTGGAATATTTTTAATTTGCAATTTTCTATATTTTTCTCCAAAATAAAGTAGGCAACTTCATGGCAAAAAAAAGTCATTTTCAAGAAAAAAAGTGTTAAATGTGGTATAAAGCCCCATTTTTCCAAATTCAGGCAAAACACAGTAGGGTGGACACTACGAAAAGCTGTTTGAGGAGGGTTATCCCTTCAAGTAAGATCTCAAGTGAACTTTTCAATGCTGTTAAAAAAATTTTGGAATAACTCAAATGCATGTAAGAAAATATAGGTTAAAAAAAATAATCAGAATTTTAATGTTGTTGAAAACTTACGACCTTGCAAAGAAGCCTCCATGACCACAAATACAGTAAGTTCTAACAGTAGAAATAGAAAGCAAGGAAAACACAGAGGATCCAAAGCAACCACCATTATGATATAATATTATATTAGAAACCTTACCTTACAGAACATGTCTCGGAGATCATCTTTTGGGCTAATCCACGATGCAACAGCATCACAAAAAAAAATAAAATCCTGTAAGATTAAACAATCACATAGGTTAGAAACCTGAATTTATAGGTATGAAAACAACACTTGATGTTCATTCTATGAACTATGCAGGGTCTGTGATCCTAATTCATAACTGCTTTTGTTTTTATGTATGCATTTTCCAGTTAATCCAGAACATTACCATAAACTTGTTTACCTTGTTTCATCAGGTTTTTGATTAAATAAAACCACAGTTTAAAAAATCCAAACAAGTCTCCCATATCACACTTGTCTAACATTAATTCTTTCAGTACACATACCAAGTTCAAGAATCAATCACCTTAATAACAACAAACTCAAGATTACAGTCGCAACACTCATTTCCAGTTGTGGAAAAAAGCTTGCTCTATTTGTTTAATCAGAGCCAGCAGTTTTTTCTGGAACACACAAGATACTGATCATACAGGCTCAAAACTAAAGCCACCGCAAAATCGCTATGCTTGGTTCATCTGCTGGCATGCATTATTACCTCCCACTCCACCATTAAAACACCAGTCTTTAATCGTTAAGTTGATAATGCACATCTTTTTGGGTAGGACCTGAAGATAACAACTACAGAGAAGGAAAAATGGGATAATGAAGAGAGACCTTAATTATGCCCTCCCTTAAGCGATGGAAAGAACAAATGGATAGCAGAAGAGAGAAGTGCTAAGTACAGAATAAGGTGTAAGTGAAATGAACCAAAAATTTCAAAACAAGGTGGAGGCTCAATTCTTATGTTTTAGGAAGAAGAATTCCAGGTACAGGAGAGGGAAAATCATGTTAATTTTCCTCTTAGAAAATAATTCGGAGGTGTGGAGACTAAAGAGCAAGTTATATCCTGTACTTCAGATGTACCATTTATTTTAAAGAGAGATGCGTTCCTTTTCATGTTGACTGACTAGTGAGGCAATATATTCAAAGTTGAAACAGAATCTCCCCTACCCAAGTTTTAAGAATGAAGGGGTAGTTACTGTTATTGTTCTGTTTCTTGTTTTAAAAGCCTAGGTTTCATCTGAGAAATAGGTTTAAGTATGTCAACTTGTCCTTTCCTTTGCTAGGTGATAATTACTGAAGAATTATGATACGTTCAATATTCAGAGTTCAATATTTTTAGATCTATTCTATCAATAAAATACATTTAGAAATACTTTCAAATGAAAAATATTGCAGTCTACCTAAAAATGCTAAATAGATGAAACACTTCTCAAAGAGCACCAAACATTTGTCTTTTTCATAAGCTCGTAGAGAATTTAATTTAAAGTGGTTGTTAACTCACAGCAATTGGCTACAGAAAATTAATTCTTTAATCCCAATATTTCTCCAGTTCACAAAAGGCTTCCTCATAGAAGTCATATAAGAATCTGACTTCTGCTACCAAGGCATAAGGACACATGAAAAGCAAAATGACTTCATTACATGATTAGGTAGTTTGGTCCTTTGTTCTGAGGGACAGACTGAATAAAATATCATCAAGCAAATGTGTTTTAATGGTGTTTGCTCAACTCACGAAAGATTAATCTTTAGAAAAAGGAGAGGGTGGGGAATAATGTATCAGGATTACTTGAAGCAAAATACATGAATAATACTAAAATCCAGCAGATTTAAATGAAGCAGAGAAAAGGAAACCTATGTTCAAGGGACATACTATGCAACACTCTCATTAACAGGCATTTGTGAACAGTTTCATGAAACATGCAATAAAGCAGACGATGCTTTCTCCAATAAAAGTTTGGTGTAGGATATACTAGCAGTTTGAAATATACTAATTCCAAGGAAGCTGCAGCTCACTGGTTATGTACTGTTTTGCCCTGATATTACTCAATGTCAATACACAGCTTCTGAAATTTTCAGCAGATTTAACTTATAAAACTGCATTTGAAGAGCTACTTTCAAATGAAAATACACTTTTAAGTTTTATCTGTAAATTCTGTCACCTACAGTCTGTACAAGTAATAGTAATCTCTGTCAAAGCTCAACTTTTTGGCAGCTACTGGTTATTTTCTACGCAGTTACTTAAGATGGTCTCATGTTCCTATAGAAGTGTTTTCACAGCTCATTACGTAGCAAGCTAAAGCAGAAAACAGAAATATTCTTGTACATACTAGTGGCCTGCAGCACAATATCCCACAACAAACTTATAAGTACACCACACTCAACATTTATTTGCAGTTATGCATCCACATTTAAAGTAACTATTGAAAGAATTAGGAGGGGAAAAAAACAAAAAAACAAAAAAAAAAGAGTCAGTGTTTGGATGCTTCCAAAAATTCTCTAACAGTGATGGAAGCAAACATTTAAGTACTGGATGCCTCTCAGCTACAGGTATTACACATCCATCAGGGCAGAGGCAGGGGGGGTCAAGGGCAGAGGCAGGGGGAAATAAAATTTATATTGCTAAACTATTTCATAATGTATTTTACAACAAGTAGGTATTTGCTCCAAAATTGTATTTTCCAAGAAGTAGTACCTATAATATGCCAGATAAGTAGGTCATTTTTCATTCAAGTTCACCTTCCATACTACACAGGGATAAAGGGGGGGCAGAGAAAGTGCAGCTTTTAAGTTTAGAGAATACTGGACAAAAAAATATGCATTGAAAATCTCTCTCCAATTTATCTCTTACTTAGCTCAAAAAACATAACTGCACCACTGAATTTGCATTATTTTCAATCATGTCAGGTGCAATTACTAAACCATTATTTTCTTACAAGACAGTTTTCAAACAGGAAAAAGAAAACATGAAAAAACATTTTCAGTTAGTAACATAGTAAACTAGAAACCTGTCAAATTATTAATAAAGTTTTGCTGAAGTATGGAAGGTGCTCCTCATACCAGAACGTGCCCTCTCTAAATGCAAAAGAAACAAGCCTCAGAAATTCTGATTCAGTAAGGCATTTTGGGATTGCTCCCAATTTGGAAAGCAAAGCTGTGGACCAGAACAGAAAACGTGCATGCCACGATTAGAATCCTTTTCAGAAATTTATTATCAAGTGACCAGGTAACAGAAGTTATATATAATTTCAGTAATGTTGTGGTCAAACTGCCATCACACATCTAGATTTTTTGTGGCTGATATTACAAGTTTATCTCTTAAAAAAGTGCATTTTTTAAAAATTCAAAGAGCTCATTATTTTTTTGTATATGCCAATTACATTTGTTTCAAACATTAGACACATATATACAGTACACATGTGTAAGGACATGCATATACTAACATCAGTGTGAACAAAGTCTTTAAGTGTTACTGTATACATTTGTCATATTCAATACATAAATAAAACTGGAAAATTACTTAATTAAACAGATGATAAATATAATAAATGTCATAAAAGTGAGAAAGGAATAACTTTAAGAATCTAGATATATGATAGATAGTTGGCTGCAAGACTGAGACTTGTAAGAGCTTCTGCAAAACAGAGTTGCTTTTGCTTATAAAAGCCAAATACATAGCAATAAAATCAGTTCTGGTGTGGTTCCCCTACAATGTTTTAAATCATTATTAAAAAAAAAATATCTCTAAATCCCTTCGCCAGGTATGGTTCAATTTTTGGGTACCTGTGTTCTCTAACAACGTCTTTGGTGTGTTGGGTCTGTTAATTATTTCTACAAGCTGGTGCGACACCATTGGAATATAAGGCTGCATCTCTATACCTGAAACAGCCAAACAAAAAAAAAAAGATTCAGAAGAAAACGACCATTAATGTGCATAATCTAAATAGGTCAGATACATTGAACTTACTAACAAGGACAAGAATCACAAATATAATTTAAATTTTAACATGACAGTATCACTAAACCCTCCCCCCCCAAAACAAACATGCCAAATGTGCAGAGATTCAAAGAAAAATAAATCTTACCCATCTGGATGGAGATTTCTCCAATTGCCCAAGTGGCATTGTTACACACAGAAATGAATTCGGGGTTTAGGTTGGTTCCCAAAATTGGCGTGAAATCAGCTAGAAAGAACAATATTTTAAAATCTCATCCCACAATACAACCATCTTGTCCCATTACTCTGAAATCACAGGGTGGGGGGAAATTTAAACAAAATAAATCATGTAAGCCTATTTAAACGCTTGGAAAGTGTTACAGATGAATGAACAAGTGCTGTATTTCTGCTGCATATCAGATTAACCTGGATTTTAGAATTTAAGCAGATCAATGCAAATCTTTTCAAATTATAATTTTAAGATGTTTCTAACAGGTTTCATCTTGATGTAACTCTAGAACCCTTTTTTCTCCCCTTCCCTCACTGGGGTGCTGGGAAGAGAGGGGAAGAGGGGAGAAGCAGAAAAGGCAGCTACAAGTACTTGTAGAACAACCTGCAAATAACCTGGATAGGCATGTATTCAGCTATGCTTAAAAAAACAAAGCCTAGGAGGCAGTCACATCATTGATTAAATTTTAACAAAAAACCTCAGTCACAAAGATAGATTCTAACATCTGCCGAATAAACTTTAAATTCCAAACCTATCCAAGCATTCATTTGGCAAGCTAAGCACATCTCAAGACTATCTGTGGGAAGAGACAGCAAATATTATGGAAGTGTGTAACTGATGCTACTTCCCTACTGAAATTAAAACCAAAACAAAAACCCAAACAAAACCCTACCCTGTAGCTGCGTTTTCTGACTTTTATATATAGAGAAAATTGACTTTTAAAATAGAAAAATAATATAAAATATACTTCTATATTTTTTAATATATATATAATTTTTTATGTAACAATAGATTCTAGTAGAAACAAAAAGCTACAAATTCAAGAATTTACCAAAGCTAGCAACTATTCCAATTGAATTCTAAGGCCATCTGTTTTTGCTGTACTCCAGCACAACATGTAGCTTGCTCCATTATAAAAATCAAGGGGGAAAATGAATTTTTGCAGTCTATAAAAATAAGAACATGTCTTTTAAACACACAATGAAAAGGACGAAAGACCCTTGCTGATAAAGGAAAATAAAAACTTACACCACCACGAAAAGGCAACCAACAGAATAGGGAGATTAACAATGGCAAAAGCAGCCTCTGATCAGTTTGTAAAACAAGTTAATTGTTTAATATGTGAAAGAAACATACCGATGCAAGGCTTAACATGCGGGAAACACGCCTTTGTCAAATCACCTCACAATGCAAAAGAACTCTGCCGTACCTCAGGCATTTTATCCTAAAGAAGGAAGAAAAAAGTGACAATTCTAGAGGTGTTTCTCATTCTCTTAAGAAACAAAATCCTTGGATTGAACAGGTTACTCATCTCACCTGCATGCATTGGTACATTAGTGTCAGGATATTGCTGCGAGCCACTAGCTGTTCGATGTTGCCTCCAAGTCCTTCAGCTAAACCACTCAGTAAATCAAGAGCCACAATCATGAAATCTTTATCTGGAGCTTCATATTGGTCTGGCTGAGCATTATGCAACTACAATAAATAATTTTCAAAATAAGTATTAGATTTTTTTAGGGTTATGCGTAAGAAAAAGTTTCAGAACTGCACCTTCATTTAGGTATTCAATTTTTATACTACAAATCTCCCCGCAAACCTGTAACTTTACACAGTTAGTACATTGATTTAAGGAGATACTCTGAAAATGTTGGAATAGCAATAGAAAAATACCATGGCTTGTGCAAGGGTCTTCTGCACCAGATTTACACAACGCTGGTACACGGGTTCACAGTATGGAAGAAAGCCAGATTGCAAGGCAGTAGCAACTGACGACAGGCACTGGAAATACAAGCAAAAAAGAAAACTGTCACTACCTTTCCTCACATCTCTGAAATGCCTTTTACTTGGGAGAGATAAATTAAAAGATAACAGCATTTTAAGTATACTCGCAGGTAACTGGTTAAGAAAACACAACCTAGAAAGGCTGAACCAAGGCAACTATGAGCAAGCTGATACCCTCTCCTACACATACCAGTGAGAAAATTTCTCAGCAGAAGCAGCTTGTCTGAGGTAGTCAAGGAAGTGCATACAAAAACAGTACGATATTTCAGCCAGCACTTAGACTAATCTTCAGTACCTTGACCATGTACGAGCCCTAATATTATCTAAGAGTTATGAAACTAATTTTTCTAGAGGTGCTTTCCTGCTTCACACTCGGGTAGACTACATGGTCTGGTTCATACCTTCAGCTTGTCTGACAATAGAGATGAAGGGAGAGCAAGGAGAGAGAAGACAGGAATAAAAGGAGGATGGAACATTTCTTTTTTTTTTTTTTTTCTAGTAGAATCCCATCAAAGAAAACACTCTAGAATGGCAGAAAAAAAAAATCTGGAAGATTTCTGCTAAACCTAATGACATTTCCTCAGTAACAAAACTTTTTAACTACAGTCAGAATAATTTCTCTATAATGGGAAATACCTAACACTTAGCTTTTATAGTTGTACTTCCTAGTACAAGCATCATTAGTGGAAAGCATAATTCCTAAAATAAGTTGGTAAAAAACACTCAAATTTTAACATTTACCTCTAATAAAGGGAAGAGATCTTTATCTTCATCCTTCAACATGTTCCACTTTTGGATTAATGGAGGCATTAGCATCTGAATATATTCCTGTTTAGGATGAAAATCCATCAGCTGCTGAAACACTTCACTACATACTATTTTATTTCAAAGCTAGAAAATTGACATATAAAGATTTGATAAATATTCTACTTTTTCAGCAAAACCTGTACTGTAACTCAATCACTGCTGCAATACCTAGAAATAGTTAGTATTAGAATTTACAACTTGTGTCTTAAGATTTTTTGCTGAAGCACATTAAGTTCCTTTGCAGAATGAATCTTTTCCTCCAAGTTTCTTTTCAGTCTAGCTGCCTGCATTGTTACAAAACTACATGATTGCCTCAGGGCCTATGGAAAATGTTTTCACTAGCAATGCAGTCTGACTGTGCATCTGTCACCTACTTTTATCAACCACTTCCCATATCCCTGATGCTGATCCTATCCCCTCAAATTCCTGAAACTTCCTCCTCAAGCTACTAGCCATCCAGGAATAAAGTATTTTCCTATGCCTTCAGAAGGACACACTTACCCCTTCTGTATAAAGCCATTGCATCTTCCCTGCCACTGCACAGTCACAAGGACATTGAGCAAGGCATCCCTACAGTGCTGTTGCTCCCAGAAGATACCTAAGGAGCCAACAGATGCGGCCAGCTAAGGCTATGTCCAAAGATAAAAAATTCAAAATGACTGAAGAAAGTTCCACCATGACCAGGAGCTTCCTTCCAGTACTGTCAAATGTCAAGGTGGCCAGGGCCAGAGCCAGACTGAAAAGGAGGTCCTTTGATGGTGTGGGGTCTCTGCTGGCAAGTAAAATGCCATGGAAACAACTCAAATTGTTTCGTTGTAGTGTGTCTAGGTCATGTGAAGCACTATAGAGAAATAAAACAATTTTCAATAAACATTATAAGAAGAAGCACATGTGACACGTATGCATATTCTATTAATTAATATACTGGGGGTTTTTTTTAGTGTACATTGATTTGCCTGTTATCTGTATTTTGTCCAAAGCATTGCGTTTTTGTATATAATGAATGCCTGTCTTACTTTCCAGTAAAGCAATTTCTAGTGGTGATTGTTCCAATACATTAGAAAGAAACATACAGAGCAGCTTAGCTATACTTGAAGTCATCATGAAGAAAAGTGTGATCATTAGAAATCAAAACACACATTTCACCAACTTCTCTAAAGTTTATCTGTGTATCTCCTCTGAGCTGACAAATTCTGAGCACGAGGTAAAAAAAAAGTGTCTCGATAAGAAGCACATTTCAGAAGCCATGACACACCTAACTGTTTATTCAAAATGGTGAATATTTGTGCAGTGGGAAAATTACATGCAGTCTATGTATTTTACATACATACACAGAAATATCAGCATTTATGTTTTATAAATTGTAAGCACACTACAAAGAACACTGAACCAGTTTTTCAATTATTAGTGCTTCTACGGAACATAAGGCATACTCACTGGTTTATTTAGATGATGTCCTACAGAATCTGCTAGAGTTCCTATAGCATCATAAAGGATGAGCAGGTTTTTATGCTGGTATTTACTAAATGCGAAGACCAAAGTGTCAAGTATATATGCAAGATAAGGAACAAGCTCTGTACAAGCCTCCTCTTCTAGAGTAGCAAAGGCACTGAGAGACAAAAAAACCCAGAACAGGTCAGTTAGTATCTTGGAAAAAACAAAACAAGATGACCCCAAAAAAGCCCCACATTACTAATTTCTGTTTAAATAAAAAACTGTATTTAGTCCTCAAATTTGTCCAAAATATGTTCTCAAGATGGTATTACTGACACAACCTCAATCTATTTTGATGGAGCATATAAGGATTCAGCTCTTACATTGTGATGAACAGAACTTAAAAATATTGCTGTAAAACCTGTGATGTATATGCAGGAAGCCCCAAGAAAAGTACTACTGTACACAAATTACAATATACTAAATTAAATGGTAGGAACTGTTACAAAAGCTGTTACAAGTGGCCCAATATCTTTAATGTATGCTGCAGCTGCACCTAGAAGCCCTAGCACTATTGTGCCAGCACAAAGCCAAAATCAGCCTGTAATCTCAGCAGTTCACTACACAGAAAAACAGACAAAGAAAGACATGGAAACTAAAAGCAAAGAGAGGGGATGAAGAATTTTAGACAGTCATGGTCAAAGCACACATCATAGCCTCATGGAAACTTTTCATGTTGTCTGTCAAGTGTTTTAACAGCAGCATTAAAAAAAAACCTCCTGAAAGAAACAAAACTCTTCCCACACCAGATATGCTGCTTCAGAGAAACACTAAGGAAAAAATTATGGGCAACTGGAGATTTACTAGCCTAGTGTGTGTCAACAAGTTTATAATTAGCCTGTCCCTGCACTAAAAATGCATGCATCTGCGCATGAGGTGAACAATCCCCTACTAGCATGGTAACAAACACAGAAATGCCTTCTTCTTAACACAATGCAACTGTGAACACTTAAATGGCTAGCATTCTTATTTTATTTATTAATTCAATTATATTATTATGAAGTATTCTTTCAGAAAGGCATACAACGTGAGCAGAAAAACATGTTTCAGTAAAATGTAACTTCGGGTGTCACCAACTAAAGGAGCAGTTTCGTGATAGCACAGAAATGAACGTTAGACATCTGCTATGACACAGAAGTTAGCAATGAAAATATACAGTATCCTATGACCAATTTTCAATTTGGTACACATGAATGATCTGTGCAACTATTCAGTGTAGGGATGCAGCTTTTTGCTCCTCACCAGGAAGGATCATTGTATATTCTTGCAATTTAGAAAGCTAGTCAGCATGCTTTGACTTGTAACAGCTCTACATTTTCCTTAAAGTGGAATTTTCCAGACAGTTCATTTTTTAGCTGCAACAGTATTTTTAATGAATATCTGCTCTAAAGAAAGCATTTCAAAACACTATATAAATCTGGTATTGAGTGTCAAATAAAAACATGATCAGATGTGTTATTATTTTTAGTATTTCTATTTTATCTTCCTCTTTTTACCTTCACAGTTTCCACTGCCCATTGCACCTCTTTCATAAGCACTACATGAGGTTATTTTAACAACTGCAACACAGTTGTGTTCAACTACATGCACATTTCAACCATGTTTTGGACAAGGAAAGTATGAACAGAAGTGAGTGGGGTTGGTTTGTTGTTGTGGTGGCATTTTTTTTTCTTTTATAGAATCGGTACATAATCTGATTCTTTGGATCTGAAAATGCGTGAAGCAAGTAGTCTCATACCACCATTCTCCTACTCATTCAGGAAGGAACAGAAGACAGAATGGGGCAGACATCACAGACCAACAATTTGCTAGCGCAATGTTTGAAAAGATTTAGAGACAAAAAGGAAACAGTGTTTAATACTCAAATCTTACTAAGTTCATTTCATTAAATTCATAGTATCTGCTGTCAGGCAAGCATACATCTACCGTTTTTGTGCAAAGCTTAGCATGAGAGCTCTGACCTCAGCCTTGTCCTCACATGCTACTAGTATTTGGGGGTGGGGTGTAAAAATAATAACATTATTATTACATATTTCAAGTGTTGAGAATAAAATCAGCTGCAGATCTAACGCTGCTTTATGAAGAAACCTTCCTGGCAGTCTACTGTGTACACTCCTGCCCCACGCAAGCTGACATGTAAAAGCTTCCTTTGATGAGGTTCCTGCACTAGAGTTCCAGCTCTCCCATTCCGTTAATGGTATGTCTATTAATGGAGACATTAATTAATTTATTTATTTATGTTAAATGTCAGCAGGCAAAGGGGAGAAGGGAATCTTATCACCCAGGATCTCCCTCCAAGAAGAAGAGAATATCCCTTGAAATAATCATAACCCAAGTGTTTTGGTAATCCTGAGCTAAATATAAACAACATCAGTAATTCAATGATAGGACAGTTTTCCTTTGCAACTAGCATTGCCCTTGTTCATAGGCGTATTGAAAAAAAGCCAGATTTCTGGTTAATGAAACATCATATATTGAAACTATATGATGTCACAAACAGATAATTTCTTTTACAAAAATAAATTATTTAGTTTGGTGACTCATATTACTCTGAAAACAAGCTAGACACAAGAAATACAAATTAAGTTTTTTCAGGTTATTACAACTTGGAGTAATTTGTGACTACTTCAGAAGAAGCTACTCCAATTTAAGAGTGAAAGAAATACATCAAGAGCTAGAAAGAGTCATACACTCATTGATAAAGGCATTAAAACAGTTTCCCGTGAAAAAGCACTGTCACGAACACTGCTTTTTGCTGAAGCTTTGGCTTACCTGCAGGCAGCTTCTTGTACTCTCTTGTTGCTATCCAGGATACGCTTTAGCAACTCAGTCATTAATGGCTTCAAGTATGTGTCTGGGGGTTGACTAACTACCCAGTGTGCATAGCGACTAAGAGTCCAGCATGTAATGGAGCGCACAAGAGCCTTTTTGTCAGACAGGCACTGAATTAGGTGAGGGATCAGCTCAGGAAGATATGGAATCATACCCTGCATGCAGCCTAGAAGGAAGAATACAGCTATTGCAGTACCAGAATTAACAAAAAAGCTCTACTGTTTTCTCGTTCCTAGAAGGGACATTATTTTCATTACCTGTCAAGCAGGAATACATTTTAACAACATACAACACAAGTCCACCTGGTTTATATTAAGTCCTAAAAAAATCAACTTACATGAACAATAATTAAAATCCCCAATTAAACTTACATTCATTTGAACTGCATTTCTACTTCAGTGCTTCCCCAATTTGCACAAATCCTGCTTTATTAAATGGAGTATGGCAAGTACATCCAAATAAAACGAGTTCATAAAGCTTGGAGGTTCTACGTCAGTGTACTCAGAGTAACCAAAACACCAAGTAGAAAAAGATTTGGTCTTGACAACAAATGGTCACATCATTAAAAAGGATTCCTTAAGAAATTTAAACTTCCTCTTGTTTTCTCCTAATTCCTCACAAATACTGACCAGCAATAAAAGCTACATGTTTTCAAGTCAGCAAGGGCAGTAAGGAAAGCAACAAAAATGTTTTCTAGCAACAGAGAAAAAAGTATGTTCACTAGGCACTAGGGGAAAAGAAAGATAATCCATGCATGGAACCAAATGTATTCCTTCAGCTTGCAAAAGGGACAGAGTTGCTGGGAATGCAGGCAAAAAGCCAAGCAACCCTGTGGGTAAGTACAAAGGAACGGAAGTTATCATATTTAAATTGGAAAACAATCCATAAAAAGCAGCTCAGGGTACTGTAGTCACCGGAGTAGTCTTCTCACATTTCATTCAAGTGTTTTCAGAAATGAAGGCTCAAACTTATTAAATATTCCTCTTCTAAGAAATCAAGCTAGTGTTTAATGAGACACCATTAAATATATGTTGCATAGTTAAGAAAGGGAGAAGTAAAAGAAATTATCTAAGCTATTTAGTCTCCCAAACATGCATAGATTTGAAAATGAAAAATTAAGTAACTGCAGTCACCTACTAGTAGACATAGAGATTAATCACCAAAACCAGTTAAGGACATACACTCATTTGTAAATTCAACTGGAAGGAATCACAGAGCTGCTTTAGAACCAATCAAAAATTCAGCAACCTCACATGCACTATTGTCTTACCTTCAGCAATTGCTCCAAGAACAAGGATACCAGATTCTTTAACGACCCATTCGGGATGGAAGAGCAATTCCTTCAAAAGGGGCAAGATGTGTGGCAGAAGTTCATCACGAAATACATTGGCTAGGACATCTAAAGCAGCAGCAGAACACTTCCCTGAGGGGAATTAACAGTATTAATCTTTGCTTATTACACAAGTAGTTGTAGTTAGGCAATATAATCCTAATTTTAACTTTGAGCTGCCAGTGAAGATTCAGGGCATTAGGAAGAAAGATGTCACTATTTCATTACAATACATAGTGACCCACTGTGCTCTGGTGTAACGCCACAGCTCTTAGAAAGCCAGTTTTGCACCACTGAAATAGCCACTAAAGGGACTTCTACATTTGGGATATTAAAACTCTGACAGGAACCACATCATTAAATTGCACTGTTATATAAACTACATTATTTCAGGCTGGTGTAACACTAAGGAAGACGGATGGTAACATATTGGAGAAACAAAAGAGAAATGGCCTAAAAATACTAGCATTTGATTCAAAAGAAAACGCTCAAACATGATCCATGTCTTAAAGTAAAGAAAAAAGGCAAAATCATCCAACTCTAGAGACTGAGAGGAATTTGCTGGCCTCTACTCTGAGCTTTTATCCCTTACTCCTATTCTGTGATGCACCAATATGAACAGGAATACCTCAAAATTAAAGTTTTAACCCCATGTTTTTAGCAAACAAAAGCTCACAAAAAACCCCAGGAACTACTGTAAAACATGATTCAGAAATCGTTACTCTGTTTTTCTGCTGTCATGTTGTCATGTCTAGAAAAAATAATGCTAAGGTTGTTTTATAAAGAATGCTTGGATTACAGAATTTATATTGCACTTTTTGCCCATTATGGTCTCAGTTCCTTTTTAATCTGTCATAAAGGATCCAACTGTCTCATTAGTAAGTAGTGCTGCCAATTGTCAGGCTGTATTGATGCTTCCTCTCTATTCAAACTGGAAGTCAAATATACAACACTAAATAAGAAACAGGGCACACGATTTTGATTTTCAGATAATCCAAATTCCCTTAAGTCCTGATAATGTATGTCAATACAGATTTCTTAACTGTTCTGCTCTTTCTCTTTCTGGCCATCATTCATGGACAACTCTATCTTCCTCAGCATCTTAATTAAAACTATGGGCCACAGGACACCCTTTGTCATTTCAGGTGTATTTTTCAGAAAATATGTATTTAATTCTTCAATCTCTACTCACGGGACTAACAAGAACAGCATTATGAATCTAAAACTATGCTTTTTTTTTTTTATTAAAAAGAATCCTTACAGAGATTCACACTCATTTTTCTATAACAATAACAACAATAATCATTAGTCTCAAAATTGTTCGACCATAAACTTCAAGATACGTTCATTTTTTGTGAAAACTTGGGGGCTTGGAAGAAAAAAATGTCTATGTGGATGTGTCCAAATCCCAAAACATTATTCTACAATGAGGCTGCTTGCACAGTATATTTAAGTCAGATTTGTTGTCAGGATTTCACTAGGCCATCAGAACTGTGATCTCCTCATAGCTACCCCTACTCTGTAACTGAAGTACTATATTCTGCTTAGAAGCAAATTCCTCACATGGAAAAGAACTATTGGTAATGGCTGTCAGTAGTAACATATTCACATGGGAAAAAAAGAAACCAAACCAAAAGACATAAGCCAATTGTAGAGGGAAGACTGAAGTAAAAGAAAGTGTTACCAAGTTTCCTCCAGCTATCAATGTGTAAGATCTTTTCTTTTTTTAAACTGTTGAACAGGCTATACATTATTTTTATTATTTTGTAGAATTAATACTAAGTCCAAAAGTTCTGTTGAATTGCAACCAGTTAATGTTTGTAGCTTTATCTGCCATAGTCAAAATAAGAAATAAGCTTACAGATGGCTAGCTTTTGCCAATACAGTTACATAGTCATAGAATCACCTGAAAGACTCCTCCTCCACCCCATCCACCAATTATGTCAGCAGATCTTTTTGTATTCAAAAGCAAAGCCTCAATATTCCTATACACATAGTATTCTTTTTACTGTGGTTCTTGTATTGTGCAAGTAGCTCCATTGTAAAACATTTTACACATTACTTTGACATACTTAAATTCCAGTCAGAAATAGTATCGTCATCATCAAGTTCATCGTCATCATCGTCATCATCTTCAATACCATCTTCTTCATGTTGCTGAGCCACTGTCCGAGAACGATGAAAGCGAGGTCTTATGTCCTGTTCACTATCTGGAATAGCTTCATCTTCTTCAACATCCCCCTGTCATCAAAATGTTTTATCAGATAAACTAGTCCAATTACACTGCTCAAGAAAGTTAAGAACGTAGTTCTAGTTCAAGATTTTATACGCAGATAAGATTCAGACCTCACTTGTGCTGCCCAGCTAATTAAAAATGTCGTTGTTTCTGCATTCTGGTGCTGCATTTACCAGAAAAATGACAGAAAGACAGAAGCAAGGGAGGTAAGCTCATGCACAAAGTGTCCTTCTTTTTAAGAAATTACTCTTGATGGGAATGAAATAGAAAGAAGAGGTGATAAATTCTGGTATGCAGACACATTCTAAAAGGTAGTGATAGAAAAAGCTGTATATTAAATTTAGAAGACATTAGAACTCATTCTGAACATTTTTTTTTTTAGGCTGCATTGTTGCAAAGTTCATAGGTAACAGTAGTCCAGTTCTGCCTAAATTGGGTGGGAGGAGTCAGGGGCAAAGCAGGAAAGTTCACAGATTATTTTCCAACAAACATGGCAGCAGTCGCATTTACTGTTTGGAACAGCACACAATTCTGATCTGAATCATTCTGATTTACAGGTCAGAAGCTCTTACAGAGTAAAAGAAATTGATGCTTACCTTCAACAGAATAATATCAATCTCTGAATACTTCATACCATTTACCAGCACAGGTATCAGCCTACAAAGAAATATTGATACATGACAAAATAACACAAAAACCCCCAAGCCAGTTCTCAGTTACTTGGGCCATATTTTTGCTTTTAAACCTCACCCTTTGAATCCGAAATAAAAAACCCAACCCTTAGCCTGGTAACAAAAGCTAATACCTAAACCAAGCTCCATGTCACAAGGTTCATCAATACCTTGTAATCGGAAAAAGTGTTAATTTCAAATTAGAAATTTTAACTAGAGGTAGCCAGATAGCATAACTGAATTTTAAACTTTAAAAAGCAAATATTCTTCCATATGATTAATTTATTCTGAACACCTTTCAGAAATTAAGTCCTAAGTTTTTCAGTTAAAATTCAAACTCCCATAATACGCATGACAAAACTTGGCTCTCAACATAGTACTTATCACTTTATTTACTTGTGGGTGAAAACTCTACCTTATTACTCTTAAAGCTGGGAGCCTAACTACATTAAGCCCTCCTATCCTTTCATGATTACTTCAGCAATACCCAACATTGCAGAGATCTTGAATAACCTGTATTAGGATTTAATTAGTTATTAAACTGGCTATGGCTATGGGGCTCCAACTTACAAATGTACAGCAAAAAAAACACACCAAGGTAAAAAACTACAATTCTTCAGATAAGACCATGTTCTCCACAGAAAAAAAAAAAATAATCCATAAAAATATGTATTACAAGCCAAGTCAAGCGAATAAAGACCATGGACTGATCCAGCACTAGTGACAGGAACAAGTTAAATGAAGTTTAAAGTTGACTGTTTTAAAATAAATAGGGGTTGCAATTCTTAATACTTACTTAGTAAGGTGCCGACATAATACATCTTTACAAATTGGCTGTTCAGCCAAAGTCAGCCAGAACTCACAAGCCTCCAAAGCCACATTTTCATCTTGGTCCTGGGTTCTTTGAAGCATGTACTACACAAAATAAAAATAAATTACCTGTGTAAGTTTTAACTGACTAGAAGAAACTACTGACACTGCAAACTGTTCACAAAACCAGACTATGCTACCATAGCAATTTTGTTTCTTTGAGACAAGGAGGAAAAACAGAGAAAAGACTACTAAAGGCTATCATGAGAATAAGCTAGAATACTTCTTTCTTAATGCTAGATGATTCAGATTCTAAATTTCTTAATTGCTTACGTGAGAACATTATTACCAAGAAACTGCAGAGACCCAAGATCATAAATAGAAGTTTCTTGTAAATAGATTTTTTTTTAGTTTTTTGTATCCCCTTTACATTTTTGAATAAAAAGTTACAACTATACCCTTAATAAGATGGAAATACTTTTTATTTCCCCATACCATAAAAAAAGCTTCCCTTCCAAATCTTGGTTACCTGACAGGATGTAATTAAGTAGAACCCATAGCAGGGAGAAAAAAAAAAACCCTCACATTTTTCTAGCATGAATGGTAATTCAGAGATTCAGTATCAAATCTTTAAGCTTGCTATTGAAATTAAACCCTGGTGCAACCAAAAAAAATTAAATAGCTGCATAAACCAAAAGCCTATGAATGGTAATTCAGAGATTCAGTATCAAATCTTTAAGCTTGCTATTGAAATTAAACCCTGGTGCAACCAAAAAAAATTAAATAGCTGCATAAACCAAAAGCCTAAGTAGATTACTGCTACATCAGTTGCTTATTCAAAAGTGCCATAAAAATTTAGGGAAGGCCCTTGTAACTTCCAAAATAGTAATTTCTGCATTCTTCCATGCTAGCTGTTATTTCTGAAACAGCTGCTTCTTCCATTCATTTTAGAAAACCTTGTGAAAGTCCATGCAGTTACATTTCCTCATACACAGATTTATAGCAAAAGAAATCCCTTGCCAGTTGCTTCAGAATATCATTTTATTCTTGAAACGAAATAGAATGGAGGGACCTTTATAATCCCTATGCATTCCAGGGACACAAGACTTGCTGTGAACGGCACCCCTTCCAACAGAACCGCACTAACTTTTAAGTTTTTCCTAAAGGTTCACTGTTTTGATTAAGACCCTGCAGTAACAGAAATACTGCTCTATCCCGAATTTTCAACAGACTGCAGCTCAGAAAAGTTGAAAAATGTCCCGCTTGTTGCAAGTAAAGCTTCCTTAATGCACTTTAAGTTAAGAGATTTGGCATTTTTATCTCAGAGGGCTTGAAAATCCACTACTTTGTGGTAGGATTCCTTTTGCCTTCCTTTTACCAGGAAGACAAAAATAGAATGACTATAAGATATCTGTTTGAAGATGTTCCTCACACTGTCACTTCCTCTTCAAGTATCTTCTATAAGTATTATACTATATGTTATAGACTGAAAAGGCTACTTACAGTCAGTGGTGTAAGACAGCCATATACATGGCCTGGAAATCAAAGCCTCAAAGGTGCAAAACCTGACTCATTTGAATGCTGAACAATAATCAGTTTTGGGATATTACATTTGTGCCTACCAGGATGTATACAGAACTAGGGAATCAGTAACAGTAGTCCCAAAACAAAAAAAACCAAATGAATATCTAAACTTTCTGTTACAGAATAGAAAAACACAGCTACTGTCTTAGGTAGAGAGGAAGATGAGTAATGATTTTCGCAACAGCAAAAGACCAGATACAGTGAGAAGGATCTTTTTCTGGTTGGTGACGTCATTTCTGCCTACAAAGTCCAGAAGTTCTTTAGTGATCTGGGGAGGCAGAAGAGCCAGAGAAGTTGTCACTTCTTGACAATACCATCTCCAAAGTTTTATCTGCCTCCAAAAAAATATAAATCTTTCAATCAGCCAAACAAAAAAACCCCACCACCAAGTACCAACAAATCTTGCTTGTCCTGTGTTATATGAGAACACATCTGCCAAGGCCGGTGTCAGGGAATTCCAGACAACATTTAGGAAGATTACATAGCAGGCCAGACTGTGAAGGGTCATCTCAGTTTTATTCATCTCTAACGCCTATGTCGAGGAGCAAAAAAACCTTCAATATCTTGTTTGTGTTGTCTGGACATAGTCCTTATGGAATTTGACACTGGGTTATGACCCACTTGTCCACATGAAATCTGCATGAGAAACATTATGATCTTAGCTATATTTCCAGTCTGCCAAGTAGCATACATAAGTGCTACCTAGGAACTGCAGTATTTCCTAGAAATGTGGAAATTACTCATAGCTCAAGCAACTGAGCAGACAAAAAACCAGAGCTGATTGGTCCTCTGGTGGACAAATCTGCACTAACCTGGAATGGTAAACGAACTATCAAATAACATTTAACTCTGCAACTGAATGGGAGGCAACATTGTTAGTAGCTCAAAGAGCATCTCAGCTATGTAAAATAACACTCCTTATCCTTGTTATGGTCAACACATCCCAAAAAAATGACAGCTTCAATGCGTAAACTGAAGCAGTATCAACACTAGCACTCTCCTTATCCTTGTTATGGTCAACACATCCCAAAAAAATGACAGCTTCAATGCGTAAACTGAAGCAGTATCAACACTAGCACTAGATTTTTAACATACTCTTCTCAACTGGGGCCAAAGCAATGCCTGGCTGCTCCACAGTATAGCTGATGCTGGCCAGGATCAATCAACTTAATGAAGAATAAACAATTGCCATATGCATTGCCTGTCAAAACACAATGTCAAGTTGGCAATCAGCTAAGAAGAAAGTTTTACAATCTCAGTCTTGAAGGAAAATGAAGAGTAGGCAAATGCAAGAGTAACATACCTGTTCTGATAAATGCTTTTTATTTGTTATTATTTCTGTGACCGCAAACAGGATGCATTCTGGGAAATGAGACTCACCTCAACTATACTAATCATATGAGGAAGCAGGCGATCCATTCGAACTTCTAGCAACATCACCAGAGCACGGCACACATTTTTGCGTACTTCAGGCTCCTCATCACCAGCCAGTGCAAAAAGATTCTGTTGGAAAGCAGTATCAGTTGAAAAACCTCAGTTCATCTAGTTCAATTTGCATTTAAATTGACATTACTGGGAAACTAAAGTATGCAATTATATTCTTCTGTACTCTCCCATCCCACAACTCAGAATACAATTTTATTTCTTAAAGACATATGGTTTAGCAAATGAGCCTTCAGCCTCTTAATTTGTATTGTACACATAACAAAAACATTGCCTAATATTAGCACTGGCACAAGAACAGTATTTCCTGGATTACCTTTTCTCCTAAACATAAATGAAGTTCTGAAGCCAGAAAAATCTGTCAGTACATAACAGAAGCAAATAAAATACTCTAGCCAACCCAAAATACCACCCTTCTAATCCACATTCAGTAGCAGTATGCAGGGAGACCCAGACGGACTCAGTGACATGATGATCCTTGTACTGAACTTTCCATCACAGGTGAGTGACAGTCTGCTGCCATTACTATTACTCCTTTATGCAACGAGAGTTTCCTCTACTTATGAAAGGGAAGCCTCTCTCAAAATATTATTTTTTGGTTTTGGAGAGTGCTTAGACCAATCAAGCCTACAGAATGAAATTCAAACCATGGGGGACTGAAGCTAAGAATGGGAATCCAGAAATGGGGAGTTTGGGGGTAGAAGTGGTCACAAAACATAATGTAAAACTCTTAATAAAATACATATATCATTTGGCTTAACACCCCAACCAAGAATGCACACGCACCTCAATAAAAGAATCTATGTGCAACATAAGAGCTTGAGTTCTGCTGATGATAAATTGATTGACGCAGGCAACAGCATGAGACCTACAAATGGAACAGTTAAAAATACATATTTTTCTTTAGTTAAAAACATTTTCTAAACTGTACATAGACATCAAAAACGTTAGGAAATTACATTGTCCAAACATCTTCTAAAGGCAAGGAGGAACAAATCTGCATATCGATAGTATCCCCAAGCAAAATTACTATACCACTTTTTAAGTGCCACCTCATACTCTGATATACCTAATAAATATTTTTAAATTAAATATTCAATGAATAGAAAACAGAACAGGATGACTACATCTGGCATACTTGTTCCAAACAGTATACAAGGGTGTTCCTTTTCGAGTATATCATGATTACTGATATTAACAATTCCCTACAGTCAACACTGTGAAATTTTAGCACGCTCTTTTTAGTTCTTAAGTAACTAACTGCCTTTGCAATATTTTTAGTATTTAGTGAGACCAATATATAGCAATAATATAGCTGTAGCTTAGGACAAACACACTCTTGTAGTAGGATACATACTAAAATACTTGTGATAGACACATAGTATAAAGCGAAGCACTGGTTCTTCCATTTCATGTCATGCAAAGCCATATTGACAGGGTATTTTTCATTCTCAGAGACACAAAAGTCAAATTCCCTAAGTAAGGGCACAAGGCAAAACTACCTGTAAAAGCCCTTTAAGATCCATTAAAGTATTTTTACTAATGTAACTCCAAACTTGTATTCTGTTCAGACATTTCCTGGAAGACTGTCTCATAAAATGTTATTCAAAATTTGTCTCTAGAGATTTAAATATAAGGTGTTTTACTGACACTACTACTAGTTTTCATACATCAGCACAATGTACTGAAACCGGGCTGTAGGTCAGCAGGTGGCCCACTTTAAACCCAAAACTGATTTAACAGCCTCAAAGGCACAACCATTGCAGCATAGTTAAAAATCAAAAGATTGTGTAATGTAGTAAGGAAAAAAAGCATGTTTTTCTCAATCTGCCAGCTTCAGAGAAGTATGAAGTTTACCCTTCCATAAGAGCAAATTCAGGCTTTGTTATGTATTTTTCTTAGTGTGCATCTATTTTAGGTGAGTGTCTAAATCTTATTTGAAAACTATAATGAAATATTCGAGGTTATACTCTTCCTCTTAGTCTTCACCACCTAATGCTGTTGGCAATAAAGACTTGCCACCTCCAAGCTGTAGAATCTTTCAATATAATTTTCAAACAGGAGTCAAAAGCCCTATTTCCTAGAATCACAGAATGGCTGAGGTTGGAAGGTTCCTCTGGAGGTTATCTGGTCCAACCCCTCTGCTCAAGCAGCGCCAGCTAGGTAGGTTGCCTGGGACCATGTCCAGATGGCTTTTCAATATTTCCAAGGATGGAGACTCTTTGGGACATTGCCTCTGTAGGCAGCCTGCACCAGTGCTTGGTTCATTCTCACAGTAAAAATGTGTTTCCGGATGTTCAGAGGGAAGCTTCTCTATTTCAGTTTGTGCCCATTGCGTCTGGTTCTATCACTGGGCACTACAGGAAAATGCCTGGCCATGTCTTTTTTGCTCCCTCCCTTCAGGCATTTACCTACATTGATGAGCTCCCCCAGTCCCAGCTCTCTCAGCCATTCATCATGTGAGAGATGCTCCAGTCCCTTCATCATTTTCATGGCCCATTACCAGACTTCTTTCCAGTATATCTATGTCTCTTTTGCACAGGACAGGCCAGAACTAGGCGCAGTACTTCAGGTGTGGCCTCACCTGGAAGACGAGGGGAAGGATCACCTTCCTCAACCAGCTGGCAACACTCCAGCCCAGGAGACTATCAGCCTTCTTTGTGACAAAGGCATGCTGTTGGCTCATTTGAGGAGAAAAGCTACTGCTCTTTGCAATTAATATTAGCAATAACAATTTAATTCTGGAATTTTTCTTCTATCCTGTATTTCTCATACTTTGGAGAGATCAATACAGTTCTACAGTGAAAAGATGATGAATTGATTGAATTTGATTAATGTGAAAGCTTTCTCAGTTTTGGTGTAGTTAAAGCAAAAATAATTTTCTGCAAAAACTCAGAAACTATTACCAGCAAAATAATTTTGACTCTCCCATTGCTGAAGTCATTACAAACTGCATGCAAAATTGTTTTTTCTAATCAGAATATTAAGTTCTAACAACAGCATTGATTTTTTTAAAATAATACACAAAACCAGTTTGATTTTCAAAATCACAGGTTGACTGTGTATTTGGAAGGTGTATAAAGAGATGAGATTGTTGTATTAACTAAGGAGATAAACATGGAAATTACGGATGCGCAGAACCTCTGTGGATCCCTGCAAGATCATTAAAAATGACGTGTTTTAAAGAGATCTACAAAATAGCAACCTTGCTATTTTGCATGTAAATACAGTTTTAACAGGTAACTGCAGCACAGTACCTAAGCCTACCTTATTTTTGGACTGCTGTGCTTGAAGAACTGCAAGAACTTAGGTATCATGATATTGAGTGGTCGGTCCAATACATCACTATCTAAAATTTCAGCAGAATCTTCACATATCTTCTGAAGAGCGCCAAAAGCACCCTGTGTAAAAAAAAAAAATAAGTCTCTCACATTCTGAAGAAAGCAAAATGTCAGGTTTTGTACAGAACAGGTAATTACAGCATGACACAGTAAATGTAGCTAATTAATAAAGTAAATGCAGCTAATTAAATATGGAGTTAAATTGAAACATCATTAAATGCTTTTTATTTAAGCACTTTATACTGGCATCTGTAAACTCTCAAGCTAGGTGAGTCAGTAATGGATAAGCAGTAATTTTAATTTTAGCATTCAATGCTCATCTATTCAATTATATTTTTAAAAACGCTTAAAATCTAGTTTGTCTTCGAAAAATAAATGTCCAGGTGCAGAAGTATCCAATTTAACTACATATATAATTGTATATTCTTTCATGGTTTCTTATGAAGCAAAACAGAACTCTGGATATGTTGCTCAATTTGAGTTTTGTTTTCAAGTGGCTTTTTTCCTTTTTCTTGAGGAAGAAGCTCTAAAAGACACATAACAGCATGGCATCTTGGACATTACGCTGTCTCTAAGGATTACTTTATACAAAGTGTTTCACGCATTTTAATGAAGACAGTATCAAGTAATTTAAATTGTGTGATCCCAGATTTTTATTTTTTTTAAATCAGAAAAGGCTTTTATTTTTCCTCATAGTTTAAAAAAGTTATTTTGGTATTTCTTTGTTTTCCTTCTTACAAACTGAACAAAACAGTTCATTTCACTCTGATACAGCAATGACAGATCGCTTTTCCAGATTAAGTTACAGGAAGAGCGAAACCTACTTTTCAGTAAGTGAAAATTCAGGGTCAACTTGATGATGCTTATGATGCCTGAAAGATTAGGCATCACAGAACAGTAACTTCACAACAGTTCTCAGCTGAGACGCTACAACTACCCATTTGCAGTCTTATTGCACTTGTATGCAAAGAAAACAAATTTTGTTTGAAGAGTAAAAACATGGAGCAGGTAGAAGAAAAAGTATCAAATTTGAGCCACTGTTTTTTGAGGAGAATATATGTGCATGTATACACACACCCCCTATACATAGGGCCTATGAAGAGAAATAAAAATAATCCAATTCATATGATAATCTTCTATTTTCTACAAGTCTCCTTACCTCACAGGTATTGTAATCTTCAGAATCCAACAGGCTGCAAAGCTTTGGTAAGAGTTCAGGCCAATTCTGTAATTCCCCTTTTGAGGCAATGGTTGTTATCAGGATGCCTAAAGGAATCAGAGGAATGAAAGTAAGATCTCACATACCTTAACATGTTTCATACCAATTTTTCTCCTCTCAAATATCTAAGGGTTTAAGAAATTTCTTGTTTTGCTAAGAACTGGCAAGCATAACAAGAGGAAGCACGTTTAATTGTAAATGGTATTTGAACAGCTTTGAAATGCAAAGGTAAGTTGTTCCTTACTGCTACCAGAAAGGCCTCAGTTGTGAGAAATCAAGCACAAAGTACTTCCAGTTAAGGAAATAATCATGCCCAAACACTGCAGGGCAGCTTTGGCTCTAAATTTACTAAACACTGTACAAAATTTGACCTCCAGTAAACATAAGAGTATCCACCTCAAGTCACCTCTTCTTTAATATGCTACAAAAGTATTAATGGGGGAATCTGTCATTCAATAAACTTACAACCCCGTGGCAAGTCATGTGTTCACAACTTTACTGTGTTGACACAAAACATTTAGGACACATTCTAAAACCAAGATACCTAATAAGAGCTTACACACTATGGCAGGTCATCCAGTGATCAGCTGTAGGGGTTGGCTGATTGAGATCCAGCAAACAGATAGGTCAGCCCAAAGAGTCACTAATTCTGTTTCCAGCACATACAGAAATCCCAGAAAAAGCTAATTAGGTGACAGGAACAGGGAAGGATGCTTATAAACTAGGACTGACTTTATATGGTCCATTTTGCCTCCAGACAAAATGAACCAAATAGCATAATCTGTTATGCTACTGACAGTTGCTTCTAATTAATATGAACACAGAAGAACTCGATACTACTACAACTAGTAATCTCCCAAGTGACAAGTGATGAAAAAAGCTTTCCTAAGCTTTTTCATTGAGCTAATCACAATATATCATTTTTCTTTGGAATGAAATGTTAGCATTCTTGTTAAATACACAAGAATACAGGACAACATTACAGAGCAAAGGACATTCTGGACAAGACACACAGTAACTAAAAGATATTTTGCATCATGTTTCCTTTGATGCAATAGACTGGAGAACCCACAAAGGGCAAAAATGAAGGCAGAGGTAATCCACAATTTTACAGCTCCAGAAGTAGTTTGTATCCAGTTCTCTTCATAACTGCAACTGAATAGAAAAGATTCCCAAAAGCCTATGGAGATCTATGGAGCCTTAAAGACTGCATTTCTCCTGATTATTATGGTCCTGCAAAGAATATCAGATGCATTAATAGAAAATACTTATTTTACTGTTGCTGGATCTTAATGATCCACTTTTTTGTTTGTTTGTTTTACTTAAACTGAACTTCACAAAAAGAACAAAATAAATTTATTTTCTTGCCTCCTAGTCCAAGTACTTAAATTGCAAAACTGTCTTCCTAACCTAGAATCTGGCACAGGTTGGTTTGCAGACTGAACATGGGTTCAGAAAAAAACATAAGAATGAAATTCCTGGAACTCTTTTGGACTAACACTTGACAAAAGTTGCGTTATAAGTCTCAAAGGGAAAGGTAGTTTTGGAAAAGATTGGTTGAAGATCTTTCCAAAGTCCTAGAAGAGGTTTCAGAGGATAACAAATGGTCTGGCTATACTTGTAATATGTGTAAGCTTTCACAGCTGAAGGAAAAACTATTTGAAAACTACTTTAAGTGTTCTTTCAAAAGGCTTATCCCAAACAACAACAGGATAACCTGGGAGGAAATACTCCCAGTTGCATAGGCAAGAAGTGACCTGAGGCCACTGCCTCTTGCAGCAAAGATGCATGCAGTTCAGACCACACATGTCACTACGAAATTTCTGTACAGGTTGTGAAGAAGCCATTTAATGATATGCTAGATTTTTTGAAATGATAAAGAGACACTTTGCTGGGGACAAAAAAAAAAAATAATAAAAAATCCGACTATTAAGAACTTGAGGAGACTACAGCTATAGCATTTGAAACTTTGCAAAAGGTTTTAAGAACAATGAGGAAACAGCCACATAAAATTAAGTTTCAGGCACTTATGTTCTTGCTAAAAGGAATCTTCACGGGTTTGTAATGAGCTTCATCTTCTTTCAAATGTGAAACTTTTCCCACCCACCTGCTGCTTTATTTGGCCAGCAGGGAACAGAAGACACAAAAGATTAGCCCTTGTGGCTTTCACTTCAAACAGAAACATGGACATCAGAAGAATAATCAAACTAAAAAAATAATCAATTTAGAAGCTTGCAGCTTTTTGACAGGTTTGGGCTAGACCTGACAGTTGAAAGAGGCCCTTCTTTCCAACAAACATACTAATGTGCAAGATTAGAAATCTGAAAAGGAAAGTCTTTATAGATGGTCTTTGATTTGTAATGAACTTCAAAATGTATTACAGAATCTGTTGATATTTCACTTGTCAAATGTGAAATCTACCAGATACAGCAGCTGGGCTAAATGAGCAGTAAACACAGAAAGAGACCAAACTCGAGGGATTCTGAAATTGTTAAAAACAATTGTCATGACAGCATCTTTTATGTCATTGTTTCAATTACATACAACCCCTGTTTACAGCATCAATTCTATGCTAAAAAAAAATTGAAAATAAAGAAAAAGCAACAATGCTTCAGTACTTTCACACCAATAACAGCTCAAGGGGAAGGTTGGGATTTTTGGAGTCGTGTTTTGCCTCTGTAGCTCATAAAGTTGACTTTTGAACTCCTTAATTCTAAAAAGCTGAACTTCACAACAAAATTTTCCCTCATAGGGCATTCATTAGCTTTCCCTTTCCTTCTGCAGTGAAGCTCTCCAGTCCCACCACTACTCTCAAACACTCAAAACTGTTTCCCCTGCTTGCTTTTAAATAGGAGTTTCAGTAAGGTCCTGCCCAGACTACACTAGGGTGTCCCATCCATCCATTCCCCCATCCCACCCCTGAATTTTTTTACAGTTACAGACACTTTCTAAATAGATGCACTTCTTTCCAAATAAGTTTGTGGGTTCTGAACACATGCAGCCATCTTTTTTGTACTTGAATCCATATTTCAACATTGGCACATGGGGTTTTTAAATCTGTACCACACAACACAGAGAAGTTCCACACTTCTCCTCATTTGGAGTTTAAATAAGGAAAAGCTAAGTAAGGATACAATAACATGTAGCTACCATTTGGTCTCAAGTCACAGTTCTAAAACTTGCTCAATCGTCATGCTCATTCTCCTCAGTGAGGTCACTTCTGAGGATGGGCTTCACCAGCTTGCCTCCATCTTGGCCAAAAGGTATCAACTTTTGTCTGGTTAGCACTAGAAGCTACTTGCTCATCTTCCTCAGAATTCCAGAGATCTTATTTTCAACTGGGCCATTAAGTTGACAGCGATTGAACTGCAGAAAAAGTGTGCATCTCAAAAAGCAGCTCTAATTAGTGTGTCCCAAGTAGATGCTAACAAGGCAGCCTAGGTAGATAGTACTATATTTACACCTAGACAGTACCAGGAGACAGGGGCTACCAGACCAACTTCACTATTATGGCATAAGGCTACAAAGATTCAACATTTATTTTCTTCAAATAGCAGGGTGCTAAGCATACGCCGAATAGCAACTCTTACACAAGCATGCAGTTCATTGGCTGCTACCCATCTTCAGGGTTCAGACATGCTTGAATAATCCCAGCAAGGATCACTTAGAGCTGAACAGGAATTGAGCTACTAATCCACAAACATTGCGTAGTAGGAGAAATCAAAGTATAACTGCTTGAAAACAAACAACTTCCCCTCCCCCTGCAAATAAAAAACACCCCACAAACCGTCACCACCAAACAAACCTAACACAGCAATCCAAATCGAGCTGGAATATATTCTATAGTCAGCTCCATTGTACTCTGCTGACAACTCCTCTGAACTAACAAGCACGCATGACTCTTGTACAACCTGAAATCACTAAAGTACCTGTCACTTGAAGACTGGTTTCTACTGTCATTGAGAAAATGGGACATTAATAAAATTCATAGCAAAGCAGCTTCAAAAGTGACAGGCAGCAGGAAAAAGCTAAGAGATGAGGATAGTCTGTAGTTCATATCCCAGATGTCTGGAGAAGGAATCCTACACATAAAGCAAGGGATTCTGAACGAGCTGTAAATGGTAGGTTATTTTATAAAAGGAGTCAGCTGATACAAGCTGAATTTCTTTCTGAAGTGACACCTACACCCATTTTCTCTACTGTCCTTTAGTAAATATTTTACTTTGTTCTATTTTTTTGAGGGGCCAAGGAAAATTACTACAATCGTTGTAGTAATTGGATGAAATCATATTCTCAAAGAGCAATTAGAAGAGCAACTTCACCTAGAAATAAGTAAAAATAATGCAAATCTGCATATTTTATGGAAGAGGTGCACAAAAAAGAAAATATCTACAAAATCAGAAATCCATGTAACAAAACACTTCTCACTGGAACTAGATGATCTTAAAAATTCCTTCCAACCCAAACCACTCTTATATTCTATAACATTCTGTACACCACACTTTATGTACTGTTTTCTGACAGAAGGTATTTAAAAATAGAAACTCATTATGTGAACGTGTTATGCATGGCATGCTGATTCCCTGAAGGGATGTGTGCATGTGGGGGTATGCGTGTGCATATGGGGGTATGCATGTGCATATGGGGGATGGGGTGCAGGAAATTAGCTAACTAAAGTTTTTCACTGATGCAAGTGGAGTACGGGAACAGTTCTGAAGTCAGACCTTTACCTTGTTTCTGTTTTTAGGGACAGAAATTGGCAGCAAGCTCAATTTTAGTTGATTCAAATAAACTAGTATTCAGTTACATTTCAAGAGATATGAACGGAATTGCTAAATCAGTTCTAAGAGAATAGGAAGCAAAAGTAAATGTGACTTTTGCATATTCACATTGAATAATTATCAGCATTAAAACATAGTGAGATTGTGCCAATTATCAGAAGCAAGCAGTTTTAAGGAGTTAAATAACTTTTTAGATCACTAGTGCAGCTCTCACCCATATCAGTAACATTTTTAGCAGTCAGCAATAAGAGCAAACTTACCTACAGTAGCTCTAATTAAGGGGGAGGAATCACCAATATTGTTCAGACATTCACTTTTAATGAAGTCAGTTACCCCATTGGGAAAGTTGTGAAAATGTGCTTTTACATTATTCTTCAAGATGAGACCACTCAGGGAACGTGTTGGTTCATCTGTAACAGAAAATAATTACAGTCAGCCTTCAAGCAGCTCATAGGAATAAGGCAGATTTCCAGAAAAAATGCAAAATAGGAAAGCTGATATATAGATAGTAATCTTTGTTTCCATATTCCTCCTTCCAACTACACCCATCAATTCATGTAGCAAAGTTTTTCAGTTCACAGTTCACTATTTCTATTTATTCAAAATTAGGATTTCAGTCTTACAATTTCTACATTTTAAGAGAAAGTTTCGTATAGAGGAGTAGGCAAGGAATAGATCTAAAGTCACAGGGTACAGGAGACTCATGAAAGAAATTGGTCAGCTAAAGATATTCAGACATTCTAATTATACTGACTGACACTCCACGAAGTTGATGACAAATCTGCTTTCACTGTAGCAAGATATAGAAATGATGTAGGGACTATGCAGTAAATCCTCCACTCCTTATTCCCAGAGAAATATGGTGTTTAATTTTTCTATAATATGGTATTGTAATCCCTTCACATATCAGCTGTTCTATTGATCTATTACATTAAAAATCAGAGGAAGAAGAAAAAGAAAGTCTTATACGACATTCACAGGTAAGTGTTATATAGTGTGAACCATAAGAAAAGTGTGACCTGAACCGAGTAAGAATTTAAATTTAGGCAACAGTTTGAATTCTCTTAACTGAGCTCTTTTTGCCTGCTAATTTCTCTAAATTACTGAGACAAGAGGAAGAACAAAAAAAGAACAGTCTATTTTTTTCATTTATATTGGAGCAGACTCATGTCACGAGTAATCAAGAGCACAAGTAACCTGGTATTACTTCTGAAAGTGAGATCTGGAGTTCTACATATAAAAGACTAGTTTATAATATAGGAAAATTTAAATTTACAATTTACAGCAACCCTAATCAGCACAAGAAACTAATTTTAATTGGCATTTTAGCCACTTGTTTGAATTGTTTTTGTATGAAGTCCTGAGCTGGGCAAGAAAAAAAGATTTTCCAAGTTCCTTTATGCCAAGAATTAGTTTACATGTGAATCTATTCCAGGCCTTCGAAACTATTACATTCCAACAGAAATAAGGATAACCAGAGTAAGAAATACAACTTCCAAACTGAGAGTATTTCAAACTAAAGGTACTGCATTACACCACCAAGAATCTCAGTACACCTGTGATGTCTGACTAACAGATATTAAAGACACTTTGTGTTGTGATCTGTCTTCATTAGAACAAAAAGAGCATTCTTCAGAAGATGGGGTTCTGTTTGGCGGACAATAAATTAAAATCGATTTTAATCAACTGATTTTGAGTGCTAAAACCAGACTGTCATCATCCTGGTTTTATGTCCATATTTCAATTCTAAAGAAGCATTATTTTTCATGCTCCATAGCTACAAATGGATTAATTTACAAACAAACAAGTCCTTTACATAGAATTCAGTAACTTCATAAACCAGGAAGCCACACAATGCACATGTATTTGAAACGATTCTATAACTTTACCTACACTATATGTTTTAAATATCCACTAGCTTCTAAACAAAAATAAAAGTCATTTCACTTGCAGAGCACTCCATTTCAAGGGCCAACTTCTTTTTGGGGAGAATGGAGGAGGGAAGAAAGGGTTTAGTATTTTAAATATTAAAGACTGGATGAGCTGACAAACTTTTCTCAACCACAGAACTTAGTTGTGAGATATGACAAGTAGTATTATTACTTGGCAAGTCAAACCAAGTAATTTTGTAGTTCCGTTTAAAGTTTTAAGATATCATTAATAAAGATCAGGCGAAGAATGACCTGAAGAAATAAGTTCTCTTGATCATTCTCAGGTTTCTCTGAAATACTCTCAATTCAAAGTAAAATCTCTGCATCAACCCTTATGCCAATATAATATGTTAAACTGATCGCTTTATGTAACTGTAAACCACTGATAGGTATACACATCTTCAAGAAATCCAGTTGTCCATAAATGATTATCAAGATTTAAAGTTGTGCCTGGTGAAGAAGGAAGCCAAAGGAGTCTTCCTTTAATTTCAACAGGATCTAAAGCCCTTGCAAACCACAATATGCTATCACTGTCTGCAACCAGTTAGACACAGAACATAACAGTTACTCATTCTGTATCAGCCAGCAGTGTCTTCTTGGGGTGAAAGAAGTCAGAATGCCAACCAAAGTCAGACTGGAATACAGTACGTTAGCTACTATTAGTATGAACTCCAGCATAAAATACTAAACAGTGTATTAAGCAAAAACGTTAATCCTTTAGAATGCCTGATTACAATTACAAAAGAGACAAGGCAGCAGCAATTTAGCCAAGCAGAGGTACAGATACTATTCAAGTTCCTTGTGTCAGAATAGGCAGATTAGCCAGCTGGTTTAGATAAAAATTAAGGTCACATTAATGTGACACTTCAGCACCATTTTTTTCTTTATGAACTATCCTATGGCATGCAGCAGCATGAAACATCTTAAATCCATTCCTTCAGCCAAGATAACAGAAAAGCTGCTGTTCTTAGTAAGTGATTATCCCACAGACCCACAACAAAGATTCCATGGGATTCATAGTGAAAGTTGCATCTCTGATGAAAGAAAAAGAATCATGAAACAAGAAAGAGATTAAAAACAAAAAGCAAAACCAATTACCACCATACTAAGAGGTGACAAGCAGAAATCACGAAGATGGATGTAGTGCTAAACAAACACCAATCATTTGAGCTAGGGAAGCACTACAGAACCTGATACTCTGGCATTTTTTTTTTTTTAAAAAACAACACCAAAAAAACGAACAACAAACAAACCACACCACAGTCAAAACCCTAGTTTGAGAAAAAAACCCAAAACTTTCTGATATGACTGCACAAATATATTTATGGAATCCAGGGTGTTCAACAACTTAACAGCTACACTGTCAGAAGACTGTAATATAGGTCTGGATGGAGTTCTTGCTGTAACACCAAGATTACAGGCAGATGGCCTAAAAGCTGAGTAAGACGCTCTTTAGTCTTCTATATTCTGTGATAAATTCTGTCAGCCATATGCTTCAGCCATCACAAAAGATCACAGTCTTGCCTCCTTTCATCTCAGTCAACCTGGAAGTATAGAGAGTTGACAAGAACATATAGTACAAGAAAAAGAAGGAAAGCAAACCAGACCTTTGGCATTTGATATCATCTTTGGTGCCAAATCAGTTCATCAGTGGAAAACTCCCCTCTCACATTGCCTCACTTTGTAATAAAACCATATCACATAGTCATCCTTTGTTTATCAGTAATTTTCCAATTCTGTTGCAAGACTCTAATACTAGTTCCAGACTTCAATAGTATACAGATAGAGCAAATGGACACCTACTCATATTACAAATATTAGTTATTTTAGGGCTACTGCAGTCCTTTTAAGAACTACAGTGTGTCCTCAAACAGCCATATTTCCTTTAACAAGACTTCGTATGACATAGGGTGCACATGTGAAAGCAACAAAGTTTTTGTAGCTCACCTGCAAGCCCAGGTGACCATTTGTCTCACTATGCCTTTTCATCCTCTCTTCCTTAGAACATAACTATCTAGATTGCTAAAAGAACTGAGCATCTGGAATGAGGGTAGGGTTCATCAATTCACAGACCAATGCAATGATTACAAGCATGGCTGTATTTTGCCCTATTACTCTTCTGATATTGGCAACTTTAAATGTTAGGCTGAGACTTTTTCTAAAGCAAAACTGCTCTGTCAATTTCAGTAATAAAGCTATTAAGCCTTTTTCAGAAGCCATGTGTGTTTTAACTAGTAATATGGATTTAATAAGTACAAATACAAAATGTGATAAGAATAATTACTGGTGTCACTATTGAACACAAAGATTTCTGATCCATTACTGAGAGACTGGCTGTCTCTTAGAAGAGCTGAAATCAAAAAATAAGGATCCCACCAGAGCAGTGTCATACAGAAAGTGGAAGACAAACAATTTCTTCTGTCCAAATGTATAAGAATACTGTACAGAGACACCTTCACGAGCTTCCTAGCAGAAAGAGATCCTACTGGAATTGGGATTTTTTTTTGATGTTGGACTTTTAAGTAACCTTAAGTATAAGACTTTTGGCTTAAACTGGTATGGTTTATTATCATGTCAGAGGCAGGACTGACAGTGCTTAAAACAGTCAGTGTACCTGAATACATAAATGACCTTGAAATGCAGTAGCTAGTCAGAAATCAATCAGTGCTCAATTGACTCATGTGAGTCATGGAAAATAATTTGACACAACTGCCTAAGTTTAGGAACGTCTGTAAGACCAAAACAAAGCTAGAAATGTTCTACTGATGCTGAGTGGTGCATATTTATTGAATACTAAGTAGCAACAGCTATGCTTCTGAAGATCATGTTGTAAATAAAACTGAGCTGTGGACAATACGGGAAGATTGTTGAACTGTGGACCAACAATTAACTTGTTGGTTTCTGCATTCTAACTAACAATGACCACAGGTCAATCAGAATAGCAAAATCTGTACATCCCTACAGGCTTGCAAAAACACAAAAAGTTTAAAGAACTAATCCTCTGGTTTCATTCTTACTTTCAGCTTCTCCATCATATCTCCACAAACTGGTTGTTTCAGCTCTTTTCCTCTCTAATGCCATTTTACATAGCACTCCAATTCCTGCAGTTAAATCCTACAGTGCTAGAATTCTATCAAGAGCAGAAGAACCCTTAATAAGAAATGGAGATTCAGTGTGATGAGAGTATGATTCACTACAATACTCCAAACTATGTAACAAAGGCAGTGTATTGTTGCAGTTTGAAAACATCTAAAAAAATAATGCTACCTCTCTTTGGTGTTTATTTGTTGGGGGAGGGGGACAGATGACAAGTACCTTTGCACTAAGTGCATAGGAAAAGAAAATAATGAGCTTCTCAATGGAAGGTACTTAGCATTTGGCAGCAAGTGAGTTAGGATTTAGGGTAATTAACCTATCTGAAGAAATGACGTGGTCAAATGTATAAACGTTTTGTCACTCTCTGAATATATGAAAAGTGA